ACCATCTACCCCTAGGCTGTAAATTACACCTAAGTTCCATGTATGTCACACAATAGATGCTGAAGTATTTCAGAGCACATTATGAACAGCATGGCGACACATGTAGGGCAAAGCATAATCAACAAAGTGTCCAAAATGCTTTTTATTTGCCCGTGAATGTTTATTATACCCAGGTTTATTCTCACATCCCTGCTTATAGAAAAGTGAAATAGTTTGGAGCGCCTTAGTCATCCAGATTAATAATAAGGATTTTCAAATTACTTTACAAAGAAATGAGAATATCAGACAGTGCCTATGACTAGCTATTGATGAATACAAAGTGGGAACAAAAGTGATGTCGAAGCATCATTTATTCATGGACCCATTCTCCTTATACCCCTAGGACCCAGGCGAGGATAGGATAAAATAGAAAAATGTTTAGGTTGTGGCATCCAAGCAATGTTCTAGACCACGGGTCAGCGAACATTTTTGTCAAGGGCCAGATAGTAAATATTTTAAGCTTTTTGACTTTGTAGGCCATAACATCTTTTTTTTTTCTTTAAGATTTTATTTATTTGTCAGAGAGCAAGAACGTGAGCACAAGCGGCGGCGGGGGGGAGGGAAGTGGCAGAGGGAGAGGGAGAAGCAGACTCCCTGCTGAGCATGGAGCCTGATGTGGGACTCGATCCCAGAACCTGGGGATGCTGCCCTGAGCCAACGGCAGACGCTTAACCGACTGAGCCACCCAGGCGTCCCGACCATAAGTTCTTTTCAGCTACTCAACAAAGCTGTTGCAGTACTAGAGAAGCTGTAGACAGTACAGCAACAAATGAATATGTCTGTGTCCCAGTAAAATCTTACCGTAACAGGCGGAGGGCAAGGTCTGGCCAGCATGCTGCAGTTTGCCAACCCCCTGTCCTAGCCCAGTCCTGCCTCAGGGATTTTCAAGAAGATTTTATAAGTTTCCAAAAGGACAGCAGCTTCTCCAGTAGCCTCACTCAATTCTGCCTTCCTCCCATAAGCCACGGCAGCTACCTTTCCTGTACAGTGACCTTGTTTCCTTCTTTATCATTTCAACTAGGCATTGACCATCCTCATTGACAGATCACCTCCCACCTTCCCTATCCTCAACTTTATATGCCAGCTAAAGGGACGTATGCATTTTTTGCCTTTCCCACCCATAGACTTGTTTACAGGAGTGTTGTTATTGAATTCAAGGATTGTTTGTTTGAAAGGAAACATTCTAACTTAGTTCATTGGGAGGTGAAGGAAAAAGAGAAGACAATATGGATCATTTGGAACCATTTGCTGTAAGGTAGCTCTTGAGTAGTAAATGGGGTAAAGGCATTTTCTGCTTGCTTTCATTTCAAATTACATTTTTAAAAATTTTAACTCCGATATAGTTAACATACAGTGTTATATTAGTTTCACGTGTACAATATAGTGATTCAGTAATTCCATACATCACCTGGTGATCATCACAAGGCACTCCTTAATCCCCATCACCTGTTTCCCCCATCTTCCCACCCACCTCCCCTCTGGTGTCCATCAGTTTGTTCTCTATAGTCAAGAGTCTGTTTCTTCGTTTTTCTCTCTCTCTCTTCCTTTTTTTTTTTTCTTTGTTTTATTTCCTAAATTCTACATGTGAGTGAAATCATACGGTATTGTCTTTATCTGACTGACTTATTTCGCTTAGCATTATATTCTAGCTCCATCCGTGTCATTGCAAATGACAAGATTTCGTTCTTTTTTTCTGGTTGAAATATATATATATCTCACACCTTCTTTTTCCATTCATCTACTGAGGGACACTTGGGCTGCTTCCATAGTTTGGCTATTGTAAATAATGCTGCTATAAACATAGAGGTACGCCTACAATCCAATAATCATACTACTAGGTATTTACCCAAGAAATACAAACACACTAATCGAAATTACATTTTAATTTTAAGTCTCCAAAAATAGCAATATAACAACACACATATTCGTTGAGCCTCCCACTATATGCAAGAAACCACGTTAAGTGCTACATAAAATATGAAAACAAGACAAGGAAGACCCTTGTCTTCATAGTATTTACAATGTGCTGGAATAGGAAAATGCTCAAGTAACTCTAACCACGGTGAGATGGCCTCATCTCAGCAGTAAGTGGGAAGGCCCTGAGGATGTAGGAACAGGATGGGGAAGGATGGGGAGTGAAAGGAAGAGCAACAGGGGAGGGCTGAACCCAATGTTGAAACTATCAGTGTGAAACATAATGAGAACCTGAGCTAGATGGGTGGCCATGAGGTGAGAGGTAAAAGACAAGACATGAATTCTGAATCAAGAGCCTCTAGGATTTGGGCACTGGGTGAATGTGAGAGAAGAGGCTATAGATAACATTTCTGATATGGTTCAATTTCAAAGTTAGATGTGGGTTCAAATCTCAAATCTGCCACTTACTGAAAGTGTGACTTCTGAGCCTCAGTTGTCTCATCTGTAAAATGGAGATCATATTACCTAACTCATAGCAGACAATACATGTAAGGAGTCTGCACTTAATAGGCACTCAATAAATGATAGCTATCGATGTTATATATTCTTGAGAGAGTGAAGGTTTAGTTAATGACAGCCCTGAGGTTTTAAGCCTGGGTTATTGGGGAAATCTAGGTACCACTAAAAGAAACACAAAAGTCAAGAGGAAGAACGAGTATTAACAGTAAGACAACAGGTTTCCATTTGGATGGGAAGAGATGTCCAGCTGGCCATTGGAATTACTTATCCAGAAATAGATTTTTTTTTAATGACAGCATTATTAACATGTAATACTATAGGTTATATGTATTATATCTACTCTTAATATATTGAGATAATTCGCATATGACAGAATTCACTCTTTGAAAGCGTACAGTTCAGTGGTCTTCAGAATATTCACATAGTTGTACAGCATTACTGCTATCTAATTTTAGAACATTTTCATCACATACCAAAGAAATCCATACCCATTAGCAGTCCCTCCTCATTCCCCTTCCCTTCAGTTCCTGGAAACCACTAATTCATATTCCATCTCAATGGAATGAGTAGATATTTGAAACTCACAACACTGAGAGTGGTGTGTGAAACCCTGAGAAAGGAATGTGATTCACCAAGGGAGACAATGTAGCATGGGCAAGGACAGTATAGCCAGACAACCTTAGGGACAGCTGTGTGAGGGGCCAGAGTTACATGTGCCTGGGAGTCTAAGCCTGTACTCCATGTAACCAGTATGTTAAGTGGCTTCTTACATACTGTGGCTTTAGTAGCAACTTGAGGTTTGACCAATTGGTAAACACTGAGGTCAACAAAAATACCCACTGATTTGACTGAGACTTGGCTTCTGGTGTAGTGAGAACACTGTGTTTTCAGGTTAGCTTAAGAAAATTATCATCTCGAACTAGCCTTGTAGATCTGTGCTATCCAGTAAGGTAGCCACTAGCGATGTATGCCTATGTAAAATATAAACATAAATCATTTAAAATTAAATAAAATTTAAAACGTAGTTGCTGGGGGCCTGGGCGGTTCAGTTGGTTAAGCATCTGACCCTTGATTTCAGCTCAGGTCTTTGTCTCAAGGTCGTGAGTTCAAGCCCCTCATTTGGCTCCATGCTGGGTGTGGAATCTACTTTAAAAAAGGGTGGGGGTGGGGTACCTGGGTGGTTCAGTCAGGTAAGCATCCGACTCTTGATTTTGGCTCAGGTCATGATCTCAGGGTCAGGGTATCAAGTCCCACAATGGGCTCCACTCTCAGCAGGGAGTCTGAGATTCTCTCCCTCTCTCTCTGCCTTTACCCCACCCCTCTCAAATAAATAAATCTTTAAAAAAATATATAGTTGCTCAGTTGCTCTAGCCACACTTCATATGCTCAATAGGCAATGTGGCTATTAACTACAACATTGGAGAGTGTGGACATAGAACATTTTCATCATTGCAGAAACTTCTGTTGAATGGTGCTGTCCTATATGATACAATAACTTGCAAGCTTCGTAAAGAGTTTTCATCTTTGTAGGTAATTTTGTAATGGTGACATGCCTCATTTGACTTAATACTGCACTTCTTTCCCTTCCAACTCCTCCTGTGTTTCCCTGTGTAAACTGTTGTCCAACAGAGCCCAGGCCTTCACCAGCTGGTGTCCAACAAAGCACACTTATGTGTATGTATGTCTCTTTCTCAATGTGACTCTCCGATGATGTTGCAAAGCTAAATGTCAAGTAGTTTTCGATAAGCCCTCAGGTATTTTCTGTGCTTATTCTCATTATTGCTACAATTATAATTAATAAAGTGATATTAAAGAATTTCACAGTTGGAGATAATACTCTTAGTTCCCATATACATATCCCCATATACCACGTAAGAGATCCATGAAAGTTTGGAGATAGGGTTGTATTAGTTTTCTATGCTGCTATAACAAATTACAACAAACTTAGTGGCTTATAACAACACAAATTTATTCTCTTATGGTTCTGGAGGTCAGACATCCAAAACCAGTTTCACTGAGCTAAAGTCAAGGTGTTGGTAGGTCTGGTTCCTTCTGGCATCGCTGAGGGGAGAATGGTTTCCTTGACTTTTGCAGCTTCTAGTGGTCACCCATAATCCCTGGTTTGTGGCCCCTCCTTCATCTTCATCACCCCAAGCTCTGCTCCTGTCCTCTCATCACCTTCTCCTCTCTCTAGTCAAATCTCCTTCTGCCTTTCCCTAAGGACACTTATGATTTCATTTAGGACCCACCCAGATAACCCAGGATAATCTCCCCATCCCAAGATCCTTAATTCAACCACATGCACAAAATCCCTTTTGCTGTATAAGGGTAATGCTCACAGATTCCAAGGATTAGGATATGGATATATTTGGGGGCCGTATTTCAGCCTACCCCAAGGTTACATAAAGTTTCTTATCAGTAGAAGAAAGTCTTCCCCTACCAGATTTGATTATTTGGGGTTTTGGATTAAGGTTTAACAATTCCGATTAAAGCAGAAAGTGTTTGTAATCATGTTGACAGATATTAAAATGTCTGACGATGCTGGTGACACCTCAGCCACTAGAGACAAAGCAGAAATTGCCAAGATGCCCGAGAGTGAGTTTTCACCCAAAGGCACAGAAGCGCACTGTGATTCAGCTATGATTTCAAATGAGCCGACAGCAGCTGACGCCAGAGGAGATGGGCATGAAAATGCCACCATCCAGGGTGCAGAGACTACTGACACTGGGCATCTTGAGCAGCCGCAACACACCAGTGCCACGGAGCCCGCCCTCAATGGAGAAGTGACTGAGGATGCACTTGCTGAATGCATTGACTCCGTCAGCCTCGAGGCAGAACTTGGATCTGAAATACCCCTGAAAGAACAGACTAATCCGGTAGGTGTGGTTCATTCGATTCAGTTCAACCTAAGTTCTTACTGATACCTGTCATGGGCACAGATCGGGATATTTTTGATGCTTACGGGGATCAGGGGGATTCGGAATATACTGTGACATCACCTCTGTCTTCAAAAGGGGGTTGTGTGGTGAGAAAAGGCATATATGAGAATAATTGGTCCTTATAATATTTGCATTTTGATAATTGTGGCAATAATAGTAACAGCCACCAAGACTGGCTACATCCTGTATGCCAGGCACCCCGCTAGCCCCTTTATAGGTTATGTAATTCGCTCCATCCAACAGTTCGTTGAGGTTCTAAGCTGGATATTATTAACCTTAATCTATAGACGAGGCAATCCGGCTCAGAGATAGTAAGCAGCCTAGTGAGATATTAAGCTACTCGGTAGTAAAGGGAAGATATTGAAATATTGAACATCATGAGTCCAAGTTATTAATGAGCCTGATTCCACCCTAAACAAGTCAGTGTTTTTTTTTTTTAATATCACTTAACTTTTAACACATAGTTACAAATCCACTGTGGGGATGGATTTTAAACCTTCAGATCACTGTTTTATCATCACACACCACCTTCCAGAGGACCAGAGGCAGAACATGCTCATGGCCCCTTCCCTTCAGTGCCTGCACCTGTCTTTCTGGGGGATAAGATAGACCAGTGTCTCCCAGTTGGTACCTTGTACAGCATCAGTATGATCATCGACCTGGGTTTTCTTGGCAACTTCACCTTCAACCACATGGGGGCTGTTGGGGATGGAGAGGCATTCAGCACGAAAGAAGGAAGCGGGCCAATCCTGCCTTCCAGAGGGATGGTCTGAGATGGGGAATCAGGGTTTTCCCTCAGTCAGGCCCCAGCCTGGCTCCTCTGACGTGTCCCACCGCAGGTTACCTCCGTGAAGAGACTCTACTGCATGCGATCAATGAAGGGAGGAGACTACACAGGGAACCAGGGGGCCTGGCTTCCCCCCTCAGACCTAACATTACCACTCTCAGTTTGGGCGAGACACCTAATTTCTCCGTGCCTCAGTTTTTCCCTCTATAAAATGAAGACTTTTGCACATGAATAGCACTAGATATTCTTCTGACTAATGTCTTGTGATTCTTTTATTCAAAGTCAGGTTCCTTGTGCCTCAGTTTCCTCAAGGGGTTTGACTTGTAGAACCGTTCCGAGGAGAGACGGACTTCCTCAGTGTTTCCCATGAACGGAGATGTTTAAACAAAAGCAAACAGTGGTTTGGCAGGGATGTCGGGGAGGGGATCTGAGGACCAGCTGAGAGTTTGAATGAGATCTGGTAAACACACAGACACAATTTCATCTGTGAGTTCCAAGGGTTCACAGACTCTTCAAAGCCATCCACGGACCCCCTAAGGGATTAAGCACTCCTAGACTGGAGGTTCTCAACTCTAGCTGAACATTTCTACCACTGGGAAAGCTTTAGAAAATGCTGATGCTGTAGTAGTTGGTTCTCCAGAAAAACAGAGCCAATAGGATATCTATTTAAAAATCCTAAAAATAAACAAAGAAAAAAGAAAAAAAAATAAAAATCCTATAACTATATCTACCCATATACCTAACTCTGGAAACTGTTTTTCCTTCACGCTTTCTAATGTGGGAAGCATTGTTTCTCTAGTCTTATCATAAGTGCTGCTATTAATAAATATCTTTGTACATTAAGAAAACCACATCTTGGCCACAACATTGTGACCTGAGATGACCTAAAGAAACGACACAGGCTCTACTAATTCAAAATATATATGCTCCTGATGGGTAGATTATACATTCCAATTCCAGACTTCTAATAATGAAAACAAGATAGCTAATAAAGATGGCACAATAAAAAGTCAGTGTGCGCCTACATATCTGCCTTCTTCATTTTTTGAGCAAACTGAATGAGTCCTGCTTTTGAAAGCTCTTTATAAACCTTAATGCTACAGGGTTAGAGCCCAATTAAGCAGACAGATACTGCCCTCCTCTTCCTGCATGACCCCGATAGTTTTCAAGGACTTGGAAAAGAGTATTTCTTCATCACGAAGCATCCCAAAAGTATCTGGATGGAAGTACAAATATTGGCCACGGGGTTGGGACTGTGGCTCTGGGTGTATGTGTGTGGCATTGCACCAGGAGCTCAGATGAAACCAAGATGTGGGAGGAACGCCCATCAGTATGTTTGTTCAAAGAAGGCAGAAAGCCAATACAGCTGGTGGAAGGGCTTCCACCCAGGTCATATTTAAACCCTTCTAAGTAGGTACAACTTTAGTCTCTTTTTAAGGATTACCCAGAGAAGGGGGTTCTACTATCTCTCTTGGTAACTTATCCTTTTAAGTCTATACAAGAAGTCAATGTTGCACCTTGTCTTCAAGCATTGTTCACTTGCTCTATTTTTTATTGCCTTGTTGGATACTTATGAAAAACCCTTTTGCAATGATGAAAACAACTATTTTTCTCTTGATCTAGAAGAGAATTAATTCTAAAGAAAACCTTGAATCGAAAGTTCATTTATAAGTTGACTGTATGGGTCTTGAACACAAGTCCCCTGAGGAATGGCAGGTCCAATAGGAAAACAGACAAGCTCAAAAGCCAACTTGATCCCAGGTATATCTGAGCCTAAAAGAATCTCATTATCCCTTTAAACAAGCTTCTGTGGGGAAATGTCTGCATGCGATCAATGAAGGAGGAGACTACACAGGGAACCAGAGGGCTTGGCTTCCCCCCTCGGACCTAAAATGAAGACTTTTGCACATGAATAGCACTAGGTATTCTTCTGACTAATGTCTTGTGATTCTTTTATTCAAAGTCAGGTTCCTTGTGCCTCAGTTTCCTCAAGGGGTTTGACTTGTAGAACCGTTCTGAGAGGAGACGGACTTCCTCAGAGAGGAGGGTGTTTCCCATGAACGGAGATGTTTAAACAAAAGCAAACCGTGGTTTGGCAGGGATGTAAAAAAAAACAAACAAAAAAACAAAAACAGCAACAACAAAAACAAAAACAAAAAGCTGACAGAATAGCCTTTGAGAAAGCTTAAACCAGTATCTTCTAGGACACACTAGATTTTGTGATAATGTGCTTAGATGTATATATATTTTTTTCTTTAAGTGACTTGTATCTGCAGTCTCTTTGGGTCTGGGTCCCCCTCAAAACCCACCTTATTAGCTTCGCTTTTGCCTGAGTCAGCCCAGTGGCTGTAAGCTGGCAGGTAGGGGTGTGACTAGGAGGGGCCCCAAGAAGAGGAGGAGGCCAGTGGTTCTGCCAACTGCCTGGCTGGCACCTCTGCTTTGAAGGATCACACCACTCACAGTTCATGCACTCAAAGAAGCGATCTCTGTCCTTGGTGTTCCTTCTTTTTCTCGTCCATCATCATGTACAGACTAGAAGCCACTGAGTTGAGACTTCCTGCGGGATCTACTCTACAACATCCACGAGAGATAGCCCCCAAACTCATTTGAACATCGGAGGTTAGACTCTCGAAGGCCTCTACCAGCCCCATGACACCACGCGTTGTGCCCAGGAACCTGAGTGGCAAACTATCTTCAGGGTGCCTAATGCCTACGGTCTAGTTGGAGAAGGGAGTGTTGTATAAAAGTAATGATAGCATATCCTATAGTGCTAGATAGGGCAGACACAGGGGAAGCCTTAGATGGGGCACTTAAATTAATCTTCAGGAACCAGGGACAACTTCAGCCTCAATTTAGAGATGTTTGTCTGGAGTGCTAGTCAGGAGTGACATTTATTTCCAGAGATTTTTTCTGGGAACTTATTATAGACTGGCCTATCAGCCCCTACAAGATCTGATGAAATCGAATTTCCCTAAGTTCTTAACACCAAGAAATGTTACCCAGAGTGGAAAAAAAGTCATCTCTACTGTTCAACACCAGTACATAAGGTCAATTATGAACGTAAATAATTCCAATGTTTTCACTAAAGGTACTCACAGAGGAAAACATAGACTATCACCGGTTAGTTCTCTCCCTAGAAAAGGAAAAACAGAATGTATAAGAGCCATAAAATTGCCGTCAGGGGAGACAAAGGAGAGCGAACATAGACCAAGACACACAGATGGCAGATTGTTGCCTCTTCAATGAATAAGTCAAGTTTGCTTCTGTTCTTTTCGAGTATTTCCCCGTTTAAGCCTACTCTCCGTGATGGCACTCAATGTTTGGCTTTGGTGGATGCTGAGGCAGTACGGCCATATAGGGCAGTACTTCCTAAATCTGGTGGTATAGCGGGATAACCTAGGGAGAGTGTTAAAAATTCAGATTCCTAGGCTCTACACTGAGATTCTTATTCAAAAGATCACAGTAGGAGCTAAGACTCTGTGTTTTTAATAAGTTCCCCTTAGGTGAGACTCTTGCGGTCAGCCTATGGACCGGTGTTTGGCAACGACTAAGACCAGGACACAGAAAGAGCTAGCTGGGGCATCGGGTGAGATTGAGAAGATGGTGAGTTCAGTACTGAACACGCCATGGGATATCCGAGGGAAGATGTTTTGTGGGCAGTTGGTTATAATAGCCTGGAGCCCAGAAGAGAGATTTGGAAACCATTAATACTTGAATGTTATTTAGGAAGTAGGAGTGGGTGAGATTGCCCCCAGTGTTATATGTAAATAAAGAAGCACAGAGGCCAAGGCCTTGGCCCTGGAAGGTTCCTGTCCCTAAGCCAATTTGGCTCTTAGGTTCTTTTTGATAGGTTGTGGTAGCCAGAAGTTGAGATGGTGAGGGTTACCTCTTTTCTTCATGATCTTATCACATTCTGTAAGGGAAATCAAATCACAAATCACACTGTACCACACTGACATTTTAAAATTGAACATTAATTGACCAGAAAATTAAAAACAGTTCACGACAACTGTTTCTAATATAGGCTGGAGAATATCCCATTGTTCTGTCCTTTTAGGTGCTTTGGTCACCACCCTGAATGAGTTTCACTCAAGACAAATATCTAGAATTCTAGATGCAGGGTTTTCTTCCTTTAGAGCTGGCATCAAAA